TGGGATTTTCCCAGTGAGGGGCATGGATTTGGGGCTGGATTTGGGGCAGTTTGGGGCTGGAATTTGGTGCTCTGGGACTGGACTGGGGCAGTTTGGGGCTGGATTTTGATTTGTGGCTGATTTTGCTGGTTTGGGGCTGGATTTGGGAGGTTGTGTCTGGATTTGGGAGGATTTGGGACAGGATTTTGGGGATCTTTGTTTTGGAACCCCATGGGCTGTTTGATCCTTATTTCCCCCATGTCAAATGGACCTAAATTCCCATTTCTTTTGCTCCCAAGTTCCCCATTTCCCTCCGTGGGTCTGTTTTAAGGAGCAAACCTACCAAAGACACGAATTCCAGACTTTTTTATGGCTTTAATAAATCCAACAAATGGATACACAAACTCTGAGTACACCAGGAGTACGAGATCCCGGGTATTCCAGCGTCTTGGAATCCCGGGGGTGATGGGAAGGGACGAGGGAAGGGAAGGGAAGATCCCTGAATTACTCTTTTGTTGGAGACTGGACTTTGAAATTTAGCGCCGGAGGGAGAAGCGGCCGCACCTTCCATGAGTAATATTCCAAGGAATATCCCTCCACCCCCTTCCTGGCTCATGTTCCCAACCAGCCACGTGGGATAGGGAGAGCAGGGTTTGCAGGGAGTGTGATCCAGAGGGGAGAGATGTGGGAAACGTGGAATGTGGGAGAACGGCAAACCAAGGGCTGGGTTCGGACCCCCTGGATCAAAGTGATCCCTTGAATTTTTCGGGATTCAAGCTCTCCAGGGTCCCTTGGGATCACACAAGAGCATCCCTGGAGTGCTGGATTCCTTGCAGGAAGGGAGCTGGACCATCCCTTTTTTTGGGATGCTGCATTCCTCGGTGCCATCAGTTTTCCCAGTGGGCCTTTTCCCATTAATCGGGTCCGGGAAGGGAGAGAGCAGCATTCCTTGGGAATGAGAGCTGGGCAGGATGAGAGGCAGGAGGAAAACTCGGGTGAGAAGAACTTGGATCATCCACACCTGGATTGGGACACCTGAGAAGGAGGAAGGATGGGAAGGAGCAAAGACCCCGAGGGAGGGAGTTGGATCCAAGTGCTTTGGGATCAGGATCCACAGGCTGCCTGCTTGGATCGGGATAAACAGCCACTGTGCCTTCCCAGGGAAAAGTGGGAATGAGGCTTAATCCCTGATGGATCCTACTCCTGTGGTAATGCTGCTGGCATCATGGGGATCCTGGCTGCTGGAATACTGTGGGATACAAACGCCTGGATTTCCCAAAGCTGATTCCCAAGTTATTGCAGAACTCATTCCTTGTGAGAACTCCGTGACCTGGACAATAGGGATGAGGGACATGGAGTTGGGGTTGGAAAGCAGGATCTCCCCGCCTGGGGCTTGTTCCCAGCTGGACAATGCCAAGGATGAGCTTTAAGGTCCCTCCCAAGGCAAAGCATTCCGGGATTGTGTCATCCTGAATCCTGGAATGTGATCCTACCAATCGTGTGGTGATTCTGGGAGTCTGCAGTGTGGATCCATCCGTGTTCCGTCATGGAATGTGATGGTGTGGAGTCTGGGATTCTGTGATTCTAAACCGTGGAATAAGGTTCTCTGGATTCCAGGGTTCCAAATCATAGAATCATGGAATATGGTTTGGTGGATTCTGGGATTCTAAATCATGGAATGTGGTTCTCTGGATCCCAGGATTCTAAACAATAGACTCAGGGAATATGTTTCTGTGGATTCCAGGATGCTAAACCATAGAATCCTGGAATTCTGGTTCTATGGATTCTGGGATTTTAAACCACAGAATCGTGGGATACGATTCCATGGATTCCAAGATTCTAAACTGTAGAATCATGGAACGTGGTCCTATAAATTCCAGGATTCTTAACCGTAGAATCATGGAACGTGGTCCTATAAATTCCAGGATTCTTAACC